TCCCCAGAGCGTCTTATTCACTGAGCTTGGTCCAACCTGAGGAATCTGCATTTTACAAACCCCACAGATAACTCTAATAAATCAGGTGATTCCAGGGGCCCCAGTCTGCCGGAACTCCTTCTCTCTCTAATCCTGGAAACTTGAGGCTGGCCCAGGATCTCAGGTAGCAGAGGCTGGGGGAAGGGCAGGGTCCAAGCCAAGGAATTTGGGGACTTTTGCAAAATGACCTGAAGCCCGGGAGGAAGTGCAACACGGCAGGGATCTGAGGAGGGAATGCCTCGGATGAGGCCTCGCCGTCGGGGGGTCGCGGCCCAGCGCGCCACACTCTCACCTGCCTCGAGGTGCGTCCAGGCTGCAGATTGGCCGATGACTGTGCATATCCGCCGCGCCTCCTCCATTCCAACGACTTTCACTTTTCCCCTTTCAGAAAACTTAACATCCCCCACCCACCCCCAATCCCGAATCCCTGGCCCGCCCCTCCCCGCGAGGGTCCGGAAGTCGACCCGGGACGCCGGGCCNGCGCCCCCCGTCGGCCTCTCTGCCCTCCCGCCACCACCGGGCCCCTGCGGAGCTCGCCTCGGCCCTCAGACCCGCACCGCACCCCGGCCCGCCGCGGCGTGGACGCCGGGTCAGCAAAGGGTTAAGGAGCTCGCTCCCTCCCCTGGGCTCCCTCACCCTTGGAAAGTCCCCGCAATGACGTTTCAACCCGACAATTAAAAAAAGAGTTTAATTATAGAGACAGGCTCTGGGAGCTGGAACAAACCCGGCCGGTCGGCGGGGCTGGTAAACAACTCCGGAGCGAGCGGGCCCGGCCGGGCAGCGGGGGAGGGGAGGGCCCGCCGGGAGTTGGAAAAGCGGAGGAAATTCGAGGAATCGGCTTTCTCTTTGAAAAGCCACTTTTTAGCCAGCCCGGGGCTCCGAGGCCGGTCCCGCAATCGCGGAGGGAACGCGGTGCTGCCCGTAGCAGGGGGACAGCCGATGCCCCGCCGGGCCCGGTCCTGGGCCGGGAGGGCGGTCCCTTTCCCTTTGCCCCGGTGCCCCCAGCTGAGCTTCCCGAACTTTCTGGAGTTAAAGACCAGCTGGCCTTTTTTAGGAGGGGGATGGGAGGAGGATTAAAAAACCGAAATAGCTTCACATCGGGACTGAGACTAACCTTGTGGTTTTAACGCGCACCCCGCTCTGTCCCGAAATCTGGAACTCATTACCTCATCACCAAGAAACTGCACGAAATTGGCCCCCACTCCCAGCTTCTTGGAGCTGGAGAAAGGAGCAAACAGACATCCCTTTAAGAAAGAAACCTGCACTTGAATGATTTAGATTAAGGTGGATGGAAGTTATTTCCCTTTCTGCCGTTTGCCAGATTGCAAGAAGAGCTGAAAAATGGGAGCAGGGGGAGGGAAGCAACAGGCGGCTGGACAGAAGCAGCAGAAAAAGCAAGAGGCAACAGCCGGGTAAAAAACGGGGGCCATCAATTTAAGTCAGGAGACAAAAAAAAAAAAAAAAAAAAAAAAAAAAAAAATGCAGACCCGGCTAGGGATCACGTAGGCTCGTGGCTGCAGCAAAAGTTGTGTGTTACGCAAAGTTGAAAAACAACCGGTTCCCAAAACAGTTGTAATTCGGAAGGTTTCCCTGGGTTTGCCCTGAGGTTGACGAATAAGAAATGTAGTAAAACGTGTGTGTGTTGGGGGTGGGAGTGGTGGTAAGGAGTGGAGGGTGAGATTGCGTCTTGAACGCTCTGCTCCGCCTGCCCCGTCCTTTCCAAAGAAACGTGCTCATAATGGGGTGACCTAATTACATCGCAATGGAACTTGCTCTTAGCCACTCGGCGCTCCGGGTTTCATAACAGACCCGCGGCCTCGAGTGCTGGGAAGAAACGTGCGAGGGCCGAGGAGGCGGCCGGGCCCGCGTGGAGACAGGAAAGAGACGCAGCCCCGCGATTTCCGTCTCGGTCTCCACTTCAGAGCCCGGGCCAAGGCACGGGAGGCGGGTGGGGGACACGCAAATAGCTTTTTATTTGGGTGGGTGGTGGGGGACAGCCCAACCTAGCTAAATATATATTATATGGTTTTGAGGGGATCCCATGCCCCCCACACCTACAGCCCAAACAGCGCAGCGTGACAAGCCATATGTTCCGTTCCCGTGGGGGCGGGAGAGAAGCAACAATAAGTTTCAAGTGTTGTTGCCTCTGTTCTTACCAAAGTAACTTTTTTTTCATTGTTCTCGCGTCCGGAGGGTGTGTGGGTGGAGAGGAGGGGGAAGGTGGCGAGGCCCACAATGCAGAGCGCGCGTGGAAAGTCGTGTGTTGCTTGGTGGTTTTTTTTGGGGGGGGGCGTTGGAAGGGGCGTTCATGAAAGAGTCAGGGTTTTCTTTAAACTAGAAAGTTTGAAGATTGGATACGTGAAAGAAATGCCACGCCTAGGCCTGTTAAAACAAACAATGGGCCCAGGCGGGCGGTGGTCTTTTCCCCTACGCCCCCCCACCCCCGCCCACAATCGGAGAGCTCCGGCTGCAAAGCGAGCGCGAGTGTAGACGCGTGCGGCGCGCTCAATCATGCTGAGCTCGCCCCCGCCAGGCCGGGTCCTGCTGGGGAAAAAGTTTCTCTTGTCTTCCGCACCCCCCCGCCCCTGCCCCGCTGAAAAAACCCTCAAGCCCTAGACTTGAACGTTCTGTGCGTCCCCAATGTCCACTGTCCTCGCCCTGCCCCGTTTGCGGAGGGGAGCCGGGTGCGGAAGAGAAGTCGGGCAAAGGTAAATGGTGCGGGCACTTGGAGAAGTTTCAGGGGGACCAGCTCAAGATGGAAACCGCAGCCCGGGCGCTGAGGACGGGCTTCAGCTCCCGCTGGCAGAAAGAGAAAGTCGAGCCCGCCTTCCTGCCCGACAAAAAACAACAACACAACAACAAGAACCCAGAAGGGGGTGGAATGAGTGATGTCACGGAGCCGCTCCGAGGCTGACAAACGGGGGGCGCGCCCCAGAGAGGGGCGCCTGAAACGCTGGGGAGCTGAGCCAGCCGACTCGAAACTTTTTCTCTTTAAGAAAAAAAGTTGTGCGCGGCTCGGAGTGGAGCGTTTTTTTTTTTCCGCCTTCTTTCCTCGTCTCTCCTCCCCCTTCTTCCTTTTGAAAGTTTCTCTCTCCCCTTCCCCCCCCCCCCCCCCCCAACTGCTCCACAACATCATAGAATGTAAAAAAAAAAAATTAATAAAATTACATTTTCGTTTTTAAAAAAAAGTTTTATTGGAACATAGCCATGACTTTACGTTTTGTCTATAGCTGTTTTCACACTGCAAGGACAGGTTGAGTAGTAGAGACCACATGGCCTTCAAAACCCAAAATACTTACTATCTGACCCTGTAAAAATATATGCCAACCCCTGATTTAAGTCATAAAGAGATTTAGTTCCCCCCCCCCGCTTGACCGCACGGCTGATTCAACCTCAGTGTCAATCAACTTTTTTTCCCCTTCTCTTCCTCATTTAAATAAGTTTAAAGCTCCTCCTCCCCCTGCCCACCAAATCTGAAACTTTATAAATTGGGCTTTGCGCGCCGCAGCCCGGGAGAGTCAGAAGGGCGAGGGGCGCCGGGGAGCAGGCGTGTGGGACTCCTGACCCGAGAGCCGGAGGCTGCGCCTTCCCCGCACCGGGACCTTCGCGACACACCAGATCCTCGCCCCTGCCCCGTGCGAGCGCCCAGGATGACCACCACCCTCGTGTCTGCCACCATCTTCGACTTGAGCGAAGTGTTGTGCAAGGTAAAGTGGGGCTCAGCGTTTGCTCTTCAAAAGTCTTTTTCTTTTGCCTTAAAAAAGAACCCGCAGGAGTTTGGGTGTTGGGAAACGGGGAAGGGGGAGAAAGGGAGGTGGTTCTTTTCTCTGCCTGCCTTTCCCCTTCTAGTTTGAAGGAATTTGGCCCTGTGCTCTCTACGCTTTTGAGTTTCAACAGTTTCTGGCGGGGATTGCTCGCGAATCGAGATCAGAGTTTTGGGGTGTGAAGTTTGCGTAGTGTGGCTGCCCGGGGGACGCGGGGGAATTGGGGCTAATTTTGGGCCATTCTTTCGTACTTAATGTGCTCCTTGAGACGGGGTTCGCTGGTCTGCTCGGTCTCCCGGTGTGCGCTCTTGGTCTCAGCGCCGCCGGGAGGGGTTCAAGTCTGTTCAGCAACATTGCGGGCCCGTTGGGTCGGTGGGGGGTCCCTTGGAGAACTGAGTCTGGGGACGATGTTTTGATGGGAAATTTTCTTATCTGCTTTGGAGGAGCTGAAGATCTTTGAGGAAGAAAAAGGCCAAGAGTTGTGATTCAAAGCGATGTTGCAAAAGCGACTTTGCAGTGGGCTTCCTCCTGCCATAGCTGGTCCTCCTGCAAACTTTGGGTGAAAGTGTGACTCGTCTTGACCCGCTTACCTGTGTTGCGAGGCACTGCGGCTCGTCCATTTGGGGGGGTGGGGGAGACGACAAAATGTTGGCCTGAGCTCAACAAGGGTCCCCACAATTAAGGATTTAATGGGGGCCTCCTTAATCCGTGTAGCTTGCCAGCCGTGTTGAAAAAAGCAGGTTTTAAACCCGGAATGTTCCAGTATTGCGGTTTAAATGTATATAGAAAAAGCCTGTGCATGTTGTTGATTTTTTTCCCACCCCCTTCCCCCAATTTTAAAGGTTGACGTTGTTAGGCTACTTTTAATTGCTGAAGTGTTCTGCCGTCTCTTAAACACGTTGGGTCATGTTGCTCTCTTCTCCCAGCTTGCTGCTCCTGTCGGCGCAGCTGCCAGGGCCCCAGGGCTGCAGGGTTGGGGTGCAGGGACGAGGAGGAGTTAAAGTGCAACATCAAAAAAGTTTCAGTTTTCAGCTTCCTTCGCTCCCTGCTCTTTACCAAACTCCACTTGCCGGTGCGGCTGCCTGAACTCCCTGGCACTTTTTCCTTTTCCTCCCAGCTCACCCTCTCTTTGATCTATTTCTCTTTCTTTCACCCCCTCCCCACCGCAGGACTTTAAAAAATGAACCTCATTGTTGGGAACCAGGTTCCTGTACTTCGTTCGCTTGGCGGGGTGGTTGCGTTACAGATTCCCGATCCCGATCCCCCGCTGCTGATCCTAAGGGACCAACTTTAGAATTTGCACAATGACACCTACATGAGTTAGAAGCCAACTCCCCAGGTCCCCCGCCTGCACCCTTTCCAAATATTGGGTACGGTTTGGGCAGGTGACCCAGGATCCCATTGGAACAGAAACCTGACTGTGATGGCTCTAGGCTCCCGCCCCCCTTTTCACTATTGACTGGGGGGCGGGGAGGGGAGATTTGGTGCTTTCCTTTTCCTTCCCATCTGCGGCTTTGCCTTAAAGATTAAACACTGGTCCTCTTATCCAAGCCTGTTCTTGCAGCCAGAAGACTAATTGTAAAGGCATCTTCCCAGCGAAGGGGGTGGGTGGGGAATGGTGGGAGAGATCACTGTGGATGGTAGCCGTTCCAGGAGCATGGGGCAATGAGTTTTATTTTCAGGAGTCACATCCCTCTCTCCCTCAATCCTACTCCAGGCCCCAGGCACCCCCGCCCCACGAAAAAGCAAAGGCAGTCTGAAAACCTGTTGCCAAAGGAAGAGAACAGTTCTGAAGGAGGAAGTTGAGAGTCTTAGGCCAGGTTGTGGAGAAGGGGGGTATCAGTTAAGCAGGGACTGATACAGCTAGGCTAGTTTGTGTTTAGTCTCTCTGAGG